GCCCCACAGAAAAATCATCACTAAATTTGGCCAAACTGGGTATTTTGTGGTGAGTTTGAAATTTGATTTGTCTTCTGAAACCATTTTACAATAAATGGAGCAATTTTTGTCCCTTCAGACTTCCTAGTGCCATTCTGCTCTCGCTCAAAATATGTTTCATCAATACAAATACCCTCATTTTTGGCTTCTACCGCTAGGTAGAAATCTGATTAATGCTGGAAGTTTGCCAATATAACCCCCACCCACCCCAAAAAACACATTCATTTTCATAACTTTTTACTGACTTTGCACAAAAAATACATGAGGTAACAGATTGCTGGTGAGTTTTTGAAGGTTCAAACTAATCCAAAAGGTGGAAAAGTTCAATATTAAGACTTGTAGGTTATTCTGTCTTTGTGTCTGCTCTGCTGCCAGCTTCCTGATGAGATTTGGCTCCGATTACAGAACGAGCCGGCCACTTGGGCCGCCTCAAACCAATTTACCCCCCCTCAGCTGTTCCATGTGGCTCCCAAGACGCAGCCACGGCAAGCGGGTGGGCTGTCAGAATCAATCTTACAATATTGTATCTTAATGTCCAATTAGTATGCTGGAGTCCCCTTACTATATAAGCAGTTTGTCAACAGTGCCAAACGCCCAGCTCTGTACTGCTTGTCCTTGGCATATGGGCCAATCAAAATCCGATGACACAGCCAATCAAGCCGCATCAGAGCGAGCCTGTTGGCGTTTTTAAAGTGCCTGCGTCACGCCGTGTGTTGTTTTTTGGATTTATAATCACAGAAAAGCCTAGAGTCTCAGAACACAGTGATGCTCCTCCTGGGCATCGTCTGGTAGTAGCTTGGCTTCGAGCCTGCTCCAAGGAGACTGGCGGGGAAGGGACTGGGTACGCCACGCCCTGCATGGCAGAGGCAGCCTGCAAGGGAAGATGGGAGAACGGAGGGTCTGATCGGCGTAGGCTTGCCGTGTCAGACTCTTCACAGCTCCTGCTACGCTGGAGGCTGGTTCAGATTCTGCTGGCCTACTTATGGCTGCCAGCTCAGACTGACTCTTCTATCTGCAAGAGCTCCTCTGTGTCTATGTAGTCAATGAATTAGCTGAGAAAGGCAGGTCGTTATTATTCTTCACTAGTAAGACGAGGGAAGACGTTTCTTTTTGCTTTTTTGTTGATTTTAGTCCATGGACTTAAAGTCTTAACACAAAAATTTTTGCAGTACTATATTGATAACGATAACAGTGATGGTAGGACGCCATGTCACGAGCGACAAATCATTTGCATGATAAATTAAAACAGCTGAATAATTTCCATTTGCATGATTTGTATGTTTTTCTCTTTCCCGTCTCTTTCATAATTCATTTTACTTAATGTTTCCGTTTTATTTATTTTGGATATTTAAAATGTCTTCCAGTTCCAGTGTTAAATGTTCATTAAAAGTTTATTGGCCCATGAGAATGTGCATTATGCACTTACCATTTCATCACTTCAAAATATTCTCAAAGCAACATTACTGTTGATCCTAATCACGTTTGGGACAATTGATCATCCACCAAACTTTGTTACAAGCCTAATGTTAGGAACTATTTATTACATCTTTTATTGGGTAACTATGGCTGTGACTGTGTGTCACGGCATTTATAGCTCCACAAACACACATACTATAGAAACACTTTTCAATTTGCAATACGTTTCTTTAGGAAACCAGTCACTGCACACAGTCACCATATTTTAAAACACAGCTACTGTATAGAGAAAATATTGAAATAATCAATCCCAACAATAAGGTGAGGTCTTAGACATCATTATTTGAAATTTATTATGACGACAAATCCAAAATTCTTATCCTGAAAAGAAATTTATCACAATAAATAAGCGAGGCGACCTCTATTATTTATTTTGTTTTTAAAATCTCAAATTCCAACTAAATGCAGCCTTTTTGTTGGAGTGCACAATATATCGACATCAGTATCGGCCGATGGTAGTAATTTTTTCATTTCATTTGCATCAATCCCATAAAACAAGGTCAATATTAACCTCCAAGCCTGTTGGTTTTCATAATGAATTAAAATGAGCTCAGTAATTTCCATTTTGATGATTAATGTTTATTGAGGGGCATTTTTGTTTAGAGATATTGTAGCTTATTAGTGGTTTTGGTCGTGTGTAATTCTTTTCCATTTTATTTATTGTTTTTGGTTATTGACTTTTATTTTGGATATTTGTAATAGTGTCCAGATCTGGTGTTTTTGTTTACTGGCCTTCGTGAGGGCAAACCTGGGACCACTTCTTTGTTATTACACATACACATTTGTAAAATATGGAACAAATCGCGTTCCATTTCGGTTTAATACGCGACACTACATTTAACAGTCAAATACGGGACAGTTCCGTATTTTACAGCAGTGGTCCCCAACCCCTGGTCCGTGGACCAATTGGTACCGGGCTGCGCAAGAAATAATTAAATATTTCCGTTTTGTGTATTATTTGAGTCTGGAGGATCTTTTATTTTGAAAATCCTTCAACCGGATTCTCTCACAAGCAGCAAAATGAGTAAGAAACGGATCAGATGTCTTTGGAAAGTTTCTTTGCTAAGGGGAAAAGGCCCAGAGAAGAGACAGGAGGATGGATTTATCAGGTTGTTCCTGATATATCAGGTTGTTCCTGATAAATCAGGAACCGGTAGATGAGTCAAACATTACAAGCCGCTCTGCGTAACATAAGGCTTCATTGCTAATGAGGCAATGAAGCTTCAAGCTGCTTCGCCACGTAGAGAAAAGCAGGCTGTGGATATAAGCAACACTTCGGGTGTTATTGTCTCTCATCACTCCCAGATGGGTCCGTCTCGTTGCAGAGAAACAAGCTCAGGGCTCCCGTTAGTCATCGTGAGTTAAAATTTTCACGAAAGTAAAATGTTCGTTTTTGTTGCGCATCTGTATCTTATTTTGAAGGGATATATAAACGTTACCATAGCGACCAGAGTCAGAGCGTTTGGACAGTGGTCGAGAGGAGATGAGTAGAGCTTGTGAGTCTTAAGTCTGGTTTAGACGGCAAGATTTAAGAATTGTCGGCCGATTCTCCAAACCTCTGTGATCACAGAGCTGATAAAAGTACAACAGGTTCGATCGGTTCCTGTTCAGCCACAAGGCAGGAGCAACACGAACCGATTCCAGTCACAAACATCGCGATTCCAGAAGAAAATCCACAAAACCCCCAACATAGCATACGGGAATTTAGAATGACCAAACACGACTGACGATGTAGAAGCAATAGTGATAGTTTGTGGATTCATTTTAAAAGATAAAAGACGAAACAAAAAGAAAAGGCTGTGGATAAAAGACGACAGGAGCAGCCGCTCTATTTGCTGCACTATGATTTGGAGGTGAGTTATGTTTTTTCATAGTTAACATTTTTAACTGAATAAACATATATAATAATGACCTTTACATATAATAATAAACATTTCCACATATCATCTCCGATATCCACCAGACTCACAGTTGCGTGATATGTCAGCTGTTTGGGATTCACCTCTGTTCTTACGTCACCGCGCTTTCTGATTGGCTGCCTGTCACATTCAGGATGTTGTATTCTGGTTCCCAGTCAGGGAAAACCCCACAGGCTGCGATAAAAGGGCCAAGACAACCCAAACTGGGTATATTCAGGACTTGGTGGGATTTATCTGACAGTTCAGCCCCACATTAATGCAGACAAGTCATTTGTCATTTACAATAAGTCTCTGAATAAATTTTGTTTTTGTTTTTTAAGATCAAAATAAGTAATAAATTCAGACAAGTTTTCTGTTTTCACTCCAGAACAATAAACTTTTAAAAATCTAATCAACATTTACTAATGTCATATTTCAAATGAGGCCTGCACTTGTTGATATGACTATTACTTGCTCTTTTTTCTCTGATTTTATTTAGAAATTCTGTAAATATTAAACTGCCATGGTGAGATATTTTTTTATGTTTCAAATGTAATTTGCACACAAGAGTACAATTACTTCTGTTTAACTGTTAGAAAGAAGTTAAAGTGTTAAAAAATGAAGTTAAGTGAATATTCAATTGCATGATATGCATGCTTCAAATGAACCAAAAGACATGCTTACGATTGCTGAAATTAAAACAAAAAAGTAAATGTAAAACACAGAATGGCTTGCTGAAATGTGTGTAAATATATTGCTGTTCTATGTAAAGAGCGTCCGCCAAGGTCGGCCCCCCTACATTTTTAACACACCAAATCTGGCCCCCTTTGCAAGAAGTTTGGACACCCCTGCTCTAAGATGATGACAATCAAACAGTGCAAATTTGACGTTGTGCTGTGCTGCAGGCGCCATTGTCACTGGTTTGTCATACAACAACATTGCCTTTTATGCTGTTGTGTCCGATATTAAATTTTACAGCTAATATCTGCTGATACCGTACCGATAATATTGTGCATCCCTACAAATTAGGAATGTAATCAGCCTATTACAATAACACATTTTTACTGGACGATAAATTGCCTCCGAAAAATATTGCAACCAACAATAATAATGAAGTTTTAAAACTATTTTCACGTAATACCATCATGAGGATCAACTTTAATTTTGTAAAGAATTCTTAACACTGGGACGGGAGAACATTTTAAATATCTAAAATAACCAAAATAACAGTAATTAAAATGGATTTGGAAGTTTCTGCAACCAAAATCACATCCAAAAAAATACTCAGCTCAGACGCAGAGAAACAGGCAGGTAGAGCAAACTAACAGCTTTGTACTGACTGTTTCTCAAAAAGGTCACTTTTCAACACTACTAAAGAGCAGCATCTCTTTGACGACTGTACAAATGGAAATGATCACACTCATTTTAATTTATGATTCAATTAATTGATTTGTTGATTATTGTGACTGGCCTGGAATAGAATAAATCTGTACCCAACACCCAGTCAAGTTGCTGGATTGAAGAGCTGCGATTCCTCCCACATCAGGACCTTCTGTAACGTTTCCTTGTGCTTGTCGTTTCTGTCAGATGATGAAGCACGCTTGGGACAGCTACAGGCAATACGGATGGGGTCACAACGAGCTGAAGCCCCTCGCTAAGAAAGGACATTCCACAAATATCTTCGGTAAGTCGAACACATAACCCTCTCTCTTCCTCTGCCGTCCGTAACCGTTGGCACTTTGTTGTACGTCACAATCGGATGCACTCATGACTGCACACACACTCTGTTTTAAACAGTTACACACACAGACATTTTTCTTTTCTTTTTATATGTAGAAGTTCACATGAAAATGCTTGCAGCGGGATTTACGTCACTTTAGTCAGTGTGAATGAAGAAGCGTTTGTAGTTTGTTGAATGCTACTTTTGGATTCATAAGTGGTTTTACTTTGAAGGGCATTGCATTTTATGTTAGTCACATGGATGTCAATGTTTTTGTACGTCTCTGATTCTTTCCTATTTCTACACATCCTTGCAAAACTGTCAACATTCTATGTACTAGCCACAAATTTTCATTGCATATTATGTGATGAAGCAACATGAAGTATAGAAATGCAGTAAAATGTATATTTTTTTGCCATATAAAGTGGGTACATGTTTTTTTATTATTTTTTTAATAATTTTAGATTGTTTTTTCCTGGTCTTTAATAACATTGCATTTGCATTGTTTTTTGGGTGTGTGTGGTAGATAAAGCTGACAGTCATCAGCACATACATAGACAGGAATTCTGTGTTTTCTATAGCAAAGAGGCAACAGAAGATAAAGCAGAGCCCTAAAAAATGTGGTTAATTAAAAACCACATTTGAAGGTGTTTTGTTAAAATGTCACCCTAAAAATTTAAAATGTGCCCTTTTCCACTGGTATCCAATTAAAAATATGTCTTGACTTGAAAATTACGCTTTTGACCCCATCTGAGGTTCAGATTCATTGTAGAGGGAAGAAGGGGAGCAGAAATTTCAGTCTTCTTTGATATTTCAGTTGCAACTTTACTTTGTGTTGTTCTAGTACATAAAACATCAGCAAAATGTATCTATTTGTGACAGAAATAAAAAAAAACAAAGAAGTGAACAGGTTTAAGGAGTGAGGCTAAATCAGCTTTGAGGTGGATACAAGCCGCATATCAAATTACATCCTTTCAAATATTCATAAATGGAACGGACAATCAGTGATTATTATGAGCAGTTGTTGTCTTAAACAGTGACTATTTCACACAGGACTAATATTTTTATCTGGAGACCCACTCTGTTTGCGGTGACCTGGCAAGGTCTCTGTCACCAGAGGTTTCCTGTTTGATGAGAAATCGCTGCTAGCAGAGCTCCTTTTCCCACTGAGGGGTCAATCCAATACAGCCTCTCATGTCTGAGGTTTGAAGTTCAGATGCTGTTTTCTGTTATCCTCCCCTGCAGCTGTGCTCCTGTGATGATACAAATCACAAAACCTGAAGTGGGAAGGAGAGATTTGTTTTCTACTTTTTGAAAAAAGAATGGGAATAAAAGTATAAAACTATGACAAGAGCGGTGGCTTTTATGGCAGTCTTTTATGTAAAGACACTTCAAACAGAAAAATAAAACTTATTTACAAGCTTGAGTGAAGCAAAAAGAAGGACCTTGAAGTTCAAGTGAGACTCTTAACAGTGTGTGCACTATTTGGTGTTTCCAATCAAAGTCTGATAAATCCAGTCGGGTCACACCAGGTATTAGTTGACTGGTAGCGCCCTCGTCATTAGGGTTGTCAGTATAATCTATGTCTGTCTGTCTGTCTATAAATGATATTAGAAAAATGAAAAGATAATCATTTGCGTGAAAATCCACACAAACTGACTTTTATACATTTGCCAACATGGCAAGTACTACGAGAAAACGTGACCCTCGTTAGCTGATAAAGCTAACACAAAGGCGTTCAGACGTATTTTCTATACAAACCAGGATGCCACATGCTAGCTGTGCTAACGCTTCAAGCTAACGCTACGCTAAGTCTGTAAAGCCTCTCTGTCCGCAACAATGAGCCAGTAAACGTCCTGGTTGACGTAAGCTAACGCTATCTGTTTAAATATTAGCTTCGTGAACAGTCCAGCCGTTGTTCTGCCGGTCCAATCCAGACTACAAAGTTCAGAACCACGCAACATTCTGTTCTTCTGTGGGACGAATTAACACAGGAAAATGTTAACCAATCAAGAAAATATTCAGCAAAACTTCCAGAAAGACAGAAATTGTACAGCGCTGCTGCTGAATACACCTGCATGGACCAAATCCTCGCTTACACTGTAAAAAATACTTTTGGTATCTTCTCCGTATTTGTTTTTGAAATGCACCTTATTTAAATCTAGAATGATCCTTTCTGTCAGTAGGAAAATGTGTTTATCATCATCTTCAAATTCATAAGCAAATGGAAGCATACGCTAAAGTCATAAGGTATAATAAGACACAATGATTGCACAAGTGAGTCACACTTCCATAAAGGATATTAGAATAAAATGTGACATGGGCTCTAATGACCCACATTGGAGAAATTCAAGTGTAAGAGAAAGCGAGATTAATGTAAATGGAATCATGCAAATACTACGGTAAAGAAAAAACTAATGAAAGACTTTAAATTTATTTTTTCCAGATTTTTTTCTGTATCTCTCTATTTCTCTAATTTTAAGACCATTTTGATGACTTGCTCCTTTATCTGAAAAGTGTTGCCCTTCTGATAATTTTATTTCATTTTGGTTTTGAGTTGCAATCTTCTTTTTTCTAGTTTTTTTTCAGTGAGTGCTCAGTAATTATTCATATTGGGAGCAGAGGCGACGTCACACTGTGTGACAGAGCACAGTGAACTGTGAAAGTGGGGTTTTGTAATGTAAATCACAAAGTTGATTTTACGGTTTTGCACCTGGCCTTCCTGTTGTTTCATGAAACTCTTGCTCTCTTCCTTATCATGTATCAAACACAATTGGCTCCTTACATCTCCTTGATTTTGCAGATTTCGTGACTAAATGCTTCACTGATGCTGAAAATGAGTTTGAGTCATCTTTCTTCATGTTGTCAGTTCAAGCAGTTAGTACCCGTATGAGTTGCATTCAGTTTGTTTTTATGACTTTCTGTAAATAGTCACGAGTCAGGGTGGTCAAACTAATCCTGGTCATTAGTCAATTTCTTGGTGCGAATCACGTCTTTGTTCTGTTCGGTGAATAAATGTGTTTTCTGGTGCTTGATATTTGTCTAAATGAGCACCAGCTGAACTAAAGTTTATTCATCAAGTGGAATTCAAATACACCTGTTGGATCTGTGGCTCTAAATGCTTGTCTTTTTTCTGTGGATTGGATCAGTGCATCTAGAAAGTATTTAAATCCAAACTCCAAATTGTCTTAAGTTAATCTTTTTCCTCAAAATTTCTTGCAGAATAAAAAGTAACAAAATATGGAAACACTGAAGCACCGTGAATACTTCCCGGACACGTTGTATTACTACCAGGGCATTACTCACTGCTTATTACTGTTTGTTTTTGCACATTAGTCTAGACCTTCCAAATTTTGTGTGTATATTTGGGTCCAATTTAGCAGACTGTTTATAGCGGCGTGTGAATGCAGCGTCATGATGCCTTTGTGTCAAATTGGAATGTTTCGCCCGCTAAATTGGCTGCAGGCATCTATGTTGCTTTTATGAGCTGCTGCTAAATGCTAGATGGATGTGTTCTTGTGTGAGTCTTTGCATTTATTGGTTTTCCTGTCGGTTTCGCTGCTCGTCTGGAGCGTGTCCTGTTTTCTTTCCTAATGTGTCTAAAAGAGGTTTTTTTTTGTTTTTGTTTTCCATACTTGCTGCTGATGGGGGGATTTGCTGGTAATTACTCACAGGTTGGGTCGCGAAGGCAGAGGGCAATGAGTAAAGCGTTACACTCATCGCAGAACCCACTTCCAATACTGATGAGCGATGACCTGCCTGCTGTCAGATAGTGGCCGTATTGATTGGGTGTGTGTGGTTGGGTTTGAAATAGTAGAACAAGGAGACGGAGGGATACATTTTAGATGCAACAATGACTAATTCTGACAGAGCGGCAGCTAGCCCCGCTATTTGTAAAACGCATTTTATAAAACTCATTTCAGTATGTGTTGCAACATAGAATTAGATTGAATGTCAAAGCTCGTTGCAAGCTTTTGTCTAATATAACGTTACAATTTTATATCTAGAAACTTAAACCTTAAGAAGAATAACGGGGCAAATATTTTTTTTTAAACCTATTTTTATCCTTTTGTGCATTTTTAGTGCAATATATGTTATAACAGAGTTGGTTTAATAGTTTTTTCAAGTTAATTTAGCAATTTTTATAAGTAAAAACAAGCAATAAGAATACAAATAATGGGTCAAAGATGGTTTTGAAACCTATTTTCATCCTTTTGCACATTTTTTGTGCAATGTGTTACAACATACTGTTGCAAGCCTTATTCTAGTTTAACTTTTTTTTTTTACATAAAACATAAATCCTAAGTCGAAAAAAAAAGTATATATATATATCTTCTTTTTCAACAGACATAAATGCACTGAATAAATGTATGTGATAACTCTGCACCAGTACAGCACATCTAAATACACCAATTTAAAACAAATTAAAATTATTCAGTCAGTCCAATTAGGAGAGTAACAGCCAATGTAAAATATATTATAAAGAAACGGAAACTGACAAAAACAAACTGCAACAAACCTTTAAATGGCTTAGAAAGTGGAATTAGGAATTCCAACTTTAATGTTAAATAAATGATACAATATGAATAGATCTGCCCTTATCTATCAGGCACATTGTCACCGATACCCAATCTAGAATTTCTGTCGATATCAAGACCGATACAGATATCAACATCAGATTGGTGAATCTCTACAAAAAAATTTTTGTAATTTTTTTTATTAGATTAAGGAGTAGTTCCTCTATCAACAATATTCTGCATTGAGATTTTCTCGTATTTCTTATAGTTTTGTAAATGAAAGAAATTTGAAACGACAGGTCAGACTTAAGAAAATTGAAGCTCTGAATTGACGAGGAAAACCCTAACCAGTGTCTTTAAATGGTAAACAAACTCGACTCGTATTGCTCTGGAATCAAACTCAGCACTTCTCTTCCCTTTAAGATCTGGTCATACGTAGTTATTTAT